AAAAGCATAATTTATTTTAAATAACTTATGATATTTGATTACATAATCAATTCAATATTTGATGGTTTATTTAATCTTGGATATTAAAAATACATTTTTATGTTAATCTATATTTTTATTTTTTGGACATAAAATCCCTAACAAGGGCTTTTTAAATTGTTGAAATAATTTTATCATTAACTACTTTTGCACAATTCATTTGACAATCTAAAATTTAAAATATGAGTGTAGATGATAAAATAATGATCATTATCTATTTTATCTTCCTTATTTCAATATGATTTGAAATAAAAGAAAAATATACATTCTTTTATACCATTTTAAATAGTTTTTTCATTGAAAAGTTTTATTAAATTTACTCATTAAAGAAGAAAAGAATGAAAGAGAAGGATTGTATCCAAAATATATATCAAATTCACGAGAAAAAATTTGAGGCTAAATTTTTAGTAATTAAGTATATACTCTTTTTTTCATTTAAATTTGTCAAATAACCCAAGTCCGATTTTTATAATATATCATAAATTTGTGACATTAAAAATCATCAAATTCTATAATAATACCATCTATTAACTATTAATTAAATTAAAGTATTTAAATACTCCAAGAATAAAAAAAGGTATCTCAAATTTAAGTTGGATGAATGTTTTATATGTAAATTTAACTTTAATTTCTCTAAGAAATTAATAAATAATTATTTATATAATACTCTTGTAAAAACTGCTTTTTTAGCGTTTCTGATAAATTAAAATCAATTATTGAATTTTTTCCCCTATTAGAATGTTCTAAAATAACAGATTTCGTCTTTGAATTCATAGCACAGTTGTTCGAAGACTAGTTTTCTTGAAGACATGCTCCCTGTTAAACATATCTTCAATAAAAAATCTCAGATCCAACATAATTAAAGTATCTTTAACTCAAAGCGCTTATTTACCATCCCTAACCCAGGTTTTACTTTTTATAAAAGCAGATGGATTGCTAGTCAACATCCTTCCAAAAAGTTAGAATACCTATTTCCTCAAAGCTTCTTTCGACTTCAAGTCTCAGTTATGAGTTTCCATTCTTGGACCACTTTTTCAGTTTATGTTTGTTTTATAGGCAAGGATTATTTTTAGTTAAAAAAATAATATTATTCATATTAATATTAATCTAAGTTACTATCACCTCCAATAAGTGTATTAGACTATTATAATTATGATTTCTTGTAACCAATACTATCATATTATTCAATATTGATAATAATTTTAATGATATTGATGCACTATTGGTAAATTCTGCCAAAATTTCAATTTTTCCTACTTATTAATATTTATTCAGAGTAAGAATAAAATAAGTATTCTTCACCTTTTTCTACATAAAACTAATAAAATTAATCTCTTTGAATAAATATTGGGGATTTAATTTTACGATGAACAAGTTTACTCTTGCTTAAAGGTGAGAGAAAAATCACATTAGTAGATAATACATCAAGTTTATTTCTATTAAATAATTAATTAAGATATTTATGCATTATTAGGAAAACTTAAAATTAAATATTTTAAGTATCCTTTTAGATCATCATATAATAAATTAAATAATTAGAAAATTATTAATAAATTATATATTATTACCTCTTGCAAGTAGATACTGCAATATTTCACCAAAAAGCCACTATCGCATCATTCCATTCTTTAAGACGCCCAAGTATCCTTTTGGCAATTCTTCATTTTGATCAAGATAAATTTGTTTGTTTTGACATAAGATTATACTTTGCAACAGTCCCAAAATATTCGAATATAGTCTTTCTTTTTATAATCTATCTATTCGCTTTAAGAATGCACCATAAGAAAAATAATTATTTATTGTTGGAATCAGTTCTAAAATTAGAGAATTTCAATTAACACCACCTATCAAGTTATCTTATGAATTTTCAATATCAATAAATCTCTTAAATATGAATTTTATTGTTGTCTTTCTTTACATTAATTTGCAATTTTATTAGCTAACCAATTATGTCCCTTATGATTCCATTCAAAAAACACCAGTCAGAAGTCAGAGGGTAATTCTTAGCATTCTGAATTCATTTATTTTCCCATACTTTTCAAATGTACAATCTTTAATCTAAAAATTTTTTAGAGACTTATCCAAAAATATACTGTTTTTTATAAATTCTAAAATTAGATTTTAATGGGACCACAATATAGATTAGCCACCAGATTCTATTTAATTTTTTGGTTTGCATGTTTTTAGGCTTAAAAATATTATGCTCAATATTCCCCAATTCATATACTTTTGGGTTCGATTTTTTGTTTTTCTGGGTTTTAGTAAAATTTCTTCCTTATTTAACTTTTGGAAACAGGGTGACCTTATTAATACTTTGTATTAGTATTATTAAAACTATTGAGATAGTTAAATAAACAACAATCTTTATTGTTTCGATTTAATCAATAAAAAATAATAAATATTTCTCTATCATTTCTTAGTCCTTCTCAATAGTCTTAAATATTGTAAATCAAAAAAATTAACAATTTCTATTAAGTAAATAATTACCCAAAGAAACCCTAAAGAATTAGTAAAAAATTCATTTAAGATATCGATTCGTTGATAAAAAATGATTATTTTCTTAATCAAATTTAAAAAATTTAATTTTCTACTTTTTCAAGAATTTTATAACAAAAACATCTATATTGAATTTTGAAAAATCATTTTATTAACAGATCCTCAATTAAGTGAGTCACTATCTTGATTATTTTTTAAATATTATTAATTTTTTTATAAATGATTTATGATTTAAATTATTAAATTCAAAGAAATACAATTTTTTTAAACCTGCTCTTTTTGTTGACTGTAAGAATCTTTTATTTATCAATACCTTATTACTTAAGGAAAGAATAGAAAAAATAATTATAATTTGAAATAGAATAATGAATTCTAATATTTATAATGAATCATTTATACTATATTTCATATATCTCATAATTATTCTTTTTACCACTCCAATATATTAAATATTATCCATTTTTTGTTACTGTTCCAGATATGTTCCAATGTTGGCAATCCAATTCCTAAACAATTAATAATTATCCATCTATTTGTTCTTTAAGTATGATAATTTTTTCATGATATCTCAAGCATATCAAATTTTTATCCTTAATGTATATTATTGGGAAGAATGATAAATAATAAAATAGTTAAGGTGCAGTTACACCAAAATATATTAATTTGACTTTCTTCTCTACTATTTCTTGAAATTGACCATCTTTTTGTTGAAATAAACATATAAATTTGGTTGAATAAGGTACCAATATGAATTAATCTTCTTTTAAAAATTTAACTTGAGCCCCATAATCTTCAATTGATTATTTAACAACATACTAAAAAGTCCACTTATTATTTGCATCTTTTTACCAAATTATAATTAATTAATCATATCCACATGAAACCAATACTCTTTCTGATTCATTTAAACTTAACTAGTTGACAAGACGAGTATGTTTTTATAAAGAATAGAAAAATGTTAATTGATTATTAATAAAGTCTATTTTCCACACATTTATCATGGAATCATAACTACCTGAAAATAATTAATCTTCATTTTATGTTAAGATTATACAAGAGATACCATTCTTATGTTCACATTATGGTTTAGAACTTTACCATTGATTGTTATTCAATTATTTCCATAATATAATTGATCCATCTTATGATCCAGAAATAAAATAATTATTAATTTTACTATAAATTAGACAAGAAACATTATTTTAATGTTGTGAAAGTGATTGAACTTTTTTAATTTTTCCATTATTGAAATTCCAAATTATAATTAATTTTCCACAAGCTGAAACCATAATTTTCCCTGTTGAATCAAATACAATTGCACGACAATCCTCTTGTTATTCAATTTTATAATCTATAAATAATAATTGATTAGGATTTAATTGTTATTGTTATTAAATTATAGACATATTTGATGTTTATTCATTTAATTTGTTCAATATATCCTTTAATTATTGATATTCTTGAAATAATTTGAATTGTTCTAATTTAGAATTGATTTTTGTAATCTAACTTTGATTAAGTTTTTTAATTTAATTTTAACAATTAATTTAATCATCTTTATTATTTTATTAATTAATTATTATTAAATCTAATTCTTTGAAGAAACTATATTCTGATAATTTAGATCCTGTTTATTTTAAATTTAATATCCAATCTTTGGTATTATTAAGTAATTGATCTAATTATTAAAGTACCATAGATTTTAAATTATTGATTTAAATTTAGAATGATTCAACTTATTTAATATTAGTTATAATTAGATTTTCTATGATATTTAACTATGACTATTTATTTTCTTCAATCTTCTAAACAATTTTTTTAAATCCAATGGTCTTATATTTTTACTCTGATTCGAAATTATCAATGCATTCCTAACACAAAAGTCTTTAATTTTATGTTAGTTTTGAATCTAGAATAACCATTGAGACAGGTAATTAATGTTTCAATTAACAATGAAGATTTTTTTCATTTTCTATCATTTTTGGTTTATACATTTTTAATTTAATTATTTACATTAATCATTTATAAACCTACTTTACAAGACCCATTAGATATAATACGAACAAATTTATTATAATTGAAATGTTTGGTTTATTGTTACATTCATCCACAAAACACTTGATCAATTGCTTACCATAATCATAGAAAATCTGAAACTAAAATCCATCAATCAAGAGTAGATTTCTATATTTACATGCCGCACTTTACTGTCTCACACAGCGATAGATGTAAGCAAATTGCATATAAATTAATATTTGCTTTTATTATCTATAATTCTTTCATCTTTAGAACATCACTACTAGATTTGATGTTAATTAAAGGAACTTTAAAAAGTAAAATACTTAAAGTTATTAATGAAATTTTCATTTTATAGAAGGAGGTTTTTCATGAAAATAATTAATCTTTAGCTGTAATAGTATGGAATAATCATCCAAATAAACTATGTGCCCTAGAGATTATCTGATAGTGTATTCTCAATAAATTAATAATCTAATTAAAAAACAAAATTACAATTAGAATTATTTGAAAGAAATTAAGTGAAATTTTAGATGATAAGACTTTAGTCTGAACTAAATTACATATAAAGTGATCCAAAATTTTTCAAATTAAAGTAACATAGATAAATACTCTAACAATTAGTTTATATATTAATTGACTTAATTTATATTATTAATGATCTTTAACTTCATATTCTTACTCATCAAAATCTTACTCATAACTTTTTAAATTATTATTATTATGTCTATGTTTTAAGAAGCCAAAACTAATTCAATTTAATATTATAAGAATGTACTGATTAAGATTATTGAAATAACTTAGAGACGTGAGAGATATTATTTGATATTTCAAAATTGTAATTTTGAACAATATCTATTAAAATCTTATCTGATTTTCTTCTAATTATAATTCCAATCCTATTAAATAATGTTCAAGTCATCATATCAATAAATAAAGCTTTGTTAAATTAGGTTATGATTTTATTCAAAATAAATTACATTACTTATGCCATTATTCATCAATTTTTTCTATATAATTCTTTTAAAAGATATTTATGAAAACATCTAAAATAAAATGGATATTATTGCAAAATCTACCATATGTATCTAATCTGGATATATTAATTGGAAAATTACTCATAAGCGCTATCTTATCAAAAAATGTAATAATTGAGCTTTTCATCTAAGTATAAATTAGATACTAATTGATTATTTTGAAATTTGTCATTCTTTGTATGTGTAATGTATTTAAAAATAAAAAAATCAAATAAATTAGTTACCACAAACTATAATTGAAAACATTCTTAACATATTGTTTAACTTAAGCATGTTTTACATTGGATATTCACATCTATATACATTAATTCTACTATTCATAGTATCCAACTTTACTGTTACTTGTCGATCCAATTATAATTGATTTCACAATTGGATCTACAAGTAATGAATTTTTCAGATAATTCATTACATAAAACAATTTTGATAGCATGGCTCACATTTCTAAACCATTAGATAATGGCCATCAAAGCATTCATTATAATTTAATGGATTTCCACATATCTTACAAGAAGGATTGCATGCTTGACATTGCGTCAATTAATTTTATAAGGTATCCTTCTAAACAGGTTTGAAAAATAATTTGATTATAGCAAAACATTGCAATAATCAATACATTTAAACATCTACTAATAGAAGATAGATAGTATCCCTTTATAAAATTATCTGCTCAATAACAATCTAAACAATAATGATCACAACAAAATTTCCCTTCAATAAAAACCCTTCTTTACTTAAACATTAATAATTTTACACACTCTAAATTTGATCTACATATGTTGGGCATTAGGTAACTTTATTAATACTTGCAGAACATGGATTTTAACATTAAAGTCATACAAACCCTTATGAAAGATATCCAGATTTGCAAATAAACTATTTATTGGAATAGAGAATTTGATTTATATATTTGCAGTTGATACAACCGTTTGTATCACATTCATAACATGGTTCTTAAAATTTTGCCCATATGATAAGACTATCAGAATAATAGATGGATTTGCAATCACATGATGATGATGTAGATATATGTTTCTGATTAGAATCTAAACATGTTAAGCATTTAGAAGTACTAATATTTTTGAGGATCAACAGAAAATAGCACTGGCAGCAATTTCATTGATATTGTATACTCTGACTTAATGTAAAAGTAAATATGCACTCTGTACAATTATTGGCATTATATTCGCACTTTGTACATGGGGCAGTACAGAGTTAGTATTAATTTGACCCATCAGTGGTATATTCGAGATCAACCACATTAAAATTAATTGCTGTTTTATTGGTGTCAATGCAAGCAGTATAACCAGCAGGAGAGTTGACATATCAGTATTTTCCATGATATCATGATGTTCAAGTACTAATAGTATTTTCTCAAGTTGCAGGAAGCATCACAGATGTTACAAGTAGTTCCAATAAGTAAATAGTAATCCACACAGATTTCACATACCATCATTCTAATTCACTGATTCAATTACAAATTAATGAAAACTTAGTTACAGTAAATTAGTTAAATAAAATGGATTTGATCAGTATCAAATTGATTTAAAGCTAAGTTTCTTCAATTTTCAAGGTTTATTCAATCTAGGTTTTGGAGACAATTAAATCAACTAAATCATAATCATATTGATGTAATTAAATATAAATTTTCATGCTGCAAAAAAGTTGTTAAGGCATCACCCTTTGTTTATTCAATAATTATATTTAGGTTTTTATTTTCTGGGTGTAATTCATAAAAAAACTTTTGTGCATCTTTAGATCTGATAATATTTCTCTAATTTAGTTAAGCAAAAGGCTAAATTTTATTTTTTGGAATATTATGCTTTATATTTACTTATTTAAATGGAAAAACTGTATTTTAATTTACCATAACACATAGTAAATAATTATAATGATTGTTAGATGGATAATATTGTCATAAAATGTCATTATAAGGTAAATAACAATATAAATATTAAAGATAAAATTGAATTATCTTTGGTTTTATCATTACGATTAATCATCATTGTAAAATATTGTGAAAATATATAAATATCTACTTATTAATATTTTTTATAATTCATTACATTACTTGGGGCTTAAATACTATTATTCATTAATTAAATTTATGATTTATTTAATTTGGTTTTAGATCAAACATTTGATAATTATTTGCCTAATAAATTTCTTCCAGTTATTCATCCCATAACAATACCTAAATATTTGATCATCAAATGAATAATTTAGAATAATTTTCGTTGGCTACAGCAATACTTGTTTTTGAATGAGGTGTTAATAGAATTTGGCTATTATTCTTTCTAAATCTCATATAAACAATAAGCCACATCATCATAAATCTTACCTTAAATCTTTGATTTGTTTTTTGATTAACCCAAGCCAATTAAGTATTGATTTGATCATACTAACAATAAATACTCTATTTTACTTGATGTTCAATTTATCTCTTAACCATTAAATTTATTTATCTAAAAATTTAGGAAATTAGTCTCTCATTGATTTTATTTCTAAGATCACCTCATCATAAGGCTATCAACTGATTTTATTAATACATCAACATTTTTTTATTAATATAATGAACTCTTAATGTTTAAATATTTAATTCTTTTAATGTCTGCTTTCATGATTCACTTTGCATTCATGTTAAATCTTGATATGTAAAATAATCTGTATGTATGAAATTGTCAGTTAAATATATGAATATACATATAGATGAACTCTTAACTTGCACTTATCCTCTATTAGCATTGATATAATGAATAACAATATCAAAAATAAAAATATATATAGATCCCGTTGTTCTGTTATAACTAATTCTTATTATTATTAATTTATGAAAGCACTGTATATGAAAACTCATAACTATCATACTATTTTTTATTATTAATTTTCCATTTACTCATACTTTGCATCTACTCACAAAATAAAATTGAAACTAATGTGGATACTTTTTCATTAACTCTTTAACTTCCCCCTTCTATATTTGTATTCAATCATCTTTAAGATTGTTAACATCTTCTTTTTTTTTTTTTTATTTTACCAATATATTAATTTCATTGCTTATTTTTGACGGGCTAGTTCATGTTATTGAGGTTTTGTATCTTTTTCAATAATTCATTAGGCTGATTTTTTNATAAATTTTCATGCTGCAAAAAAGTTGTTAAGGCATCACCCTTTGTTTATTCAATAATTATATTTAGGTTTTTATTTTCTGGGTGTAATTCATAAAAAAACTTTTGTGCATCTTTAGATCTGATAATATTTCTCTAATTTAGTTAAGCAAAAGGCTAAATTTTATTTTTTGGAATATTATGCTTTATATTTACTTATTTAAATGGAAAAACTGTATTTTAATTTACCATAACACATAGTAAATAATTATAATGATTGTTAGATGGATAATATTGTCATAAAATGTCATTATAAGGTAAATAACAATATAAATATTAAAGATAAAATTGAATTATCTTTGGTTTTATCATTACGATTAATCATCATTGTAAAATATTGTGAAAATATATAAATATCTACTTATTAATATTTTTTATAATTCATTACATTACTTGGGGCTTAAATACTATTATTCATTAATTAAATTTATGATTTATTTAATTTGGTTTTAGATCAAACATTTGATAATTATTTGCCTAATAAATTTCTTCCAGTTATTCATCCCATAACAATACCTAAATATTTGATCATCAAATGAATAATTTAGAATAATTTTCGTTGGCTACAGCAATACTTGTTTTTGAATGAGGTGTTAATAGAATTTGGCTATTATTCTTTCTAAATCTCATATAAACAATAAGCCACATCATCATAAATCTTACCTTAAATCTTTGATTTGTTTTTTGATTAACCCAAGCCAATTAAGTATTGATTTGATCATACTAACAATAAATACTCTATTTTACTTGATGTTCAATTTATCTCTTAACCATTAAATTTATTTATCTAAAAATTTAGGAAATTAGTCTCTCATTGATTTTATTTCTAAGATCACCTCATCATAAGGCTATCAACTGATTTTATTAATACATCAACATTTTTTTATTAATATAATGAACTCTTAATGTTTAAATATTTAATTCTTTTAATGTCTGCTTTCATGATTCACTTTGCATTCATGTTAAATCTTGATATGTAAAATAATCTGTATGTATGAAATTGTCAGTTAAATATATGAATATACATATAGATGAACTCTTAACTTGCACTTATCCTCTATTAGCATTGATATAATGAATAACAATATCAAAAATAAAAATATATATAGATCCCGTTGTTCTGTTATAACTAATTCTTATTATTATTAATTTATGAAAGCACTGTATATGAAAACTCATAACTATCATACTATTTTTTATTATTAATTTTCCATTTACTCATACTTTGCATCTACTCACAAAATAAAATTGAAACTAATGTGGATACTTTTTCATTAACTCTTTAACTTCCCCCTTCTATATTTGTATTCAATCATCTTTAAGATTGTTAACATCTTCTTTTTTTTTTTTTTATTTTACCAATATATTAATTTCATTGCTTATTTTTGACGGGCTAGTTCATGTTATTGAGGTTTTGTATCTTTTTCAATAATTCATTAGGCTGATTTTTTAAAGTCTCCACTTTTTTACAAACCCCTTATGAAATTTATTTCAGGTTTTTTATACTTCTTTTTTCAAAGGGCCTTGGATTTATTTTAACTATGAATGCTTTTTGAAATCATGAAAGAATTCAATTTTTTAAATGAGAAAATCTACTTGCTTTTGAGTATAAAAGAACAATTGCATAAAAATTTTTACGAGATTTATTTCAAATATTATTTGGCAAGCCTTTCGTAAGTTTCTCTAGAATGACAAAGATGGATTTGTGCAATATGAATTCAACCAAGTACATGTGTAAGGAATTAAAGGAGTTTAACTTAACTTAGAAGGGAAAATATATAGTGATATTGAAATATAGAGAA